TGCCTTTCTCAATAAACCGTCTCTCTCTGTCTGTCTGTCTGCCTGTCTGTCGGTCCAGCTCTGTCCTCTGTGTCTGGTCTTCTCGCCCTCTCTCTCTCTGTCTCTCTCTCTCGTCTCCTGTCTTCTCTCTGTCTCTCGTCTCTCTCTCGGCTCTCTCTCACGTCTCCTCTCTCTCTACCCCTCTTCTCTCTCTCATCTCCTCTCTCTCCGTCTCTCTCTCTCCTCTCTTCTCTCTCTCTCTCTCTCTCTCTCTCTCCAGCATCTCTCATCGCTCTCCCTCATCTCTCTCTCTCTCTCCCTCTCTCTCCTCTCCTCTCTCTCTCTCCTCTCTCTCTCTCTCTCTCCTCTCTCTTCTCTTTCCCTCTCTCTCTCTCTCCCTCTCCGTAGGCGACACAATTTCTTTTTTTAGTGAATATGCTCTTCAATACGTCATTGCTCGTTACGTTATTGTACCTTGTACAGCGATGACTGAGACCCAATCCACGGTCGTTTTATTTGGAAATTGTGTTCACAAACGCCAGATACGAACGACTCGACAGTTATATTTGTCTTTGACTTATTCGTCGCATAGAAAATGGAATAGCAGGATTTGATTGACAGGATGATAACAGGATTTGAGTGATATTATGGTATCATGGTTGCCTGGATGACCTTGAAATAGTCTTCCCGAAATAGTTTGTTATCCTTGCGAGCGTGTAGCTCAGAAATTAAAGAGGTCTAGGTGCTGTACGGCAGGACTGTGCACTGCACCAAAGCGTCCCCAATACGGCTATTTCAGTTCAAAATCCTCCACAAATGTGAAGCAATCCCTTTAAGCCCAAACTGCTCTCTTTATCCATACGCCCCGCAGAGATGTACAAACTGTCTTGTGTGGATTATTTCAAGGACGTCTGTCATTGAACATTGAGAAAGCTGTATAAGTTTCAAACACCAATCACGTTATATACTACGCAATCTAAGACATTGGACATGGTTGTTGGCTTTTTACGGAATGGACGCTAATAATGGAATAACTTAACAATAGCACCACAACCGAACATCTAATTACAAGAAGTCTTCGTCAACTTATGGATAAATGTGCAAGAGCACCACAGAAAGGCCCAAAACACCAGCACATAACGGTCCTTAGCTCAGCGGGTCCTGCCATTACCGCTACTACCGTCTTTTTGAAAGTTGGGACACAACATGTGAGTGCTAGGGTGCAATCTCGCACGGCTAGTTCAGTAGCGCCTCAACGTCATACAAACGTTTCATGACGCAATCAGACAATGACGCATCGACACTCACTAAATTGAGACATTGTGTCATCTAGATCAGTCTTTTTCACTTAAGAATATACCAATATTTATAACTGAACTGATTTCATCACATCTCATGCTTACTTCAACACCTTCTAATGTGGAACACTTTCTGAACACCCGCACAGATGAGGGATAATTTAACCCCTCAAAGGTTTTTCGGGCCTGATTTCCGAACGGCGCAACGTTATGTAAACACAAAACCCGAAGCTGTGTTGTATGATTGTAGCCACCATGACCTGCGAAAGGTAAAATAAAGTTACTGACCTTAAATGAGTATCTCACGTTTTACATAGAACAGATGTCTAAGTTCTCGGACACTCTGGACACCAACCTGGAGTTTGACGTTGTTTGACCTTATTTGTCCCGACGGTCATAACCTAGGAACGTCAAACTTTGACCCAAGTGAGTTCACGCACAGGCTAACACACCCTGTGAATTTGGTGTCTCTAGCTTTGTTAGTTTCTGAGATCTCAGTAGGGTCAAGTTAACCCCCACCCGAGCGAAGGGCATCCAACCGGCCACCCGGGCGCGTGTTTAAGTCAGCATTGTGGAGGGAGGGGGCAGGCACTTCAAAAGCATAGAAAGTGACACCCCTGGATGGACGTTTTC